TTTTTTTTTTTTTTTTTTACTACCTGTGTTGCGTCCTCCCCTCGCAGCAGACAAGCAGCACGTCCGTATTGCACCAGCGCCACAATGATTAGCTCTGTACCTCAATGAGCTAATGAAGAATTTTCTTTCACCTATGAAGATTGAAAGGGCCTTATGACCTCATAGAGGAAAAAAAAAAAAAAGAGGAGAATGTGGCTCCACGGTTGGCTCAAAGAGTACACACGACATGTGACATAATCTCGCTTTACTTATTGTAATGGATGAAAGACGAGAAAAGCTGAAATGGAACTGAATTAGTGGTGCCTTGAGACAAGAGCTTCATTTGTGACCACGCTCAAACCTTAAAACACTTGTATCTCAAATCATCTTTCCTCATTGAAATGAATGGAAATGCCACTAATCCGTTCCAACCTTCACCATAAAAAAAAGGAATATGTTTTTAATCATGAGAATAGAACACAATAGTTATAAAAACACAATAAAAATTTAAAATAGTAAGTTAAGAATGAAACAGCTTGATTTATTTATGACAGCTCCTTCCGGTACGCATGATGTCGTCACTGGCACCAGTATAATAACGCCATGCAGACACAAAAGAATGTCACAACTACTGTAAGTGACTCAGTAAAACGCTGTAATACTTGTCTTTTTTTTGCAGAGGATAAAGAAGATATGCCTTTGACTCTCCAAGTGTTGATGCATGGGTTGCGTTTTAATATCTGTCACTTAGAGGGTTTTATCACACTGCGACTTGCGCAACGCAATTCCTTAGCCCGCGTATGGCATTTTACATTGTGTGCTAGGATTAAGCTAGCAGAAGGCAGAGTTGGGTCGTTTCAAATCCATATGTAACTCTCTTTGTTGTTTGTTTGACAGATCAATTGGTCTGGGTGTGGCATTAAAGAGTAAGGAGCTTTTTCTTTGAATCTGCTGCTTTTTGTGAACATGAGTTGAGTTCACTGCCACACACAGTGTCCGCATTCTCACATTTTTGCTCGCAGGTCAACGCGAAAAAATCGTCCCGATGGCTCGTATCTAAAAAAAACTCAGGTCAAAACAGTCGGCCTATATGCCTTTGTCTTAGCTGCTCAGTACAATCTGGCAAAGTTGGCAATAAGTCCAAAAAGAACAATAGAAGCCAGAGGAGTTTTGCGCAAGTGGCCGCAGTCCCTCTTTGACCTCGGGAGGGGGGCGGGGGGTGTCACATGACACCAAATTTATGGCCCCAGGGTTCTCAGATTGCCGTCATGGCGTTGGTGCGTCTCCCATCTTGTCAATGCTTTAATAACTGATTGACATAATGATGCCTCACAATAGGAGTACACAAATTGGGGGGGGGGGTATAGAAAGCCGTGGGACAGTGGAGCAGCTCGACAGCCTCAGCAGGGTCCTTGAGGGTGCAAGCTCCTTCTTGTCCTTACTAAAGTGGAACACTTTGAACATTACAAGGGCCCCCCCCCCCAAAAAAAAACAACAGTGTCAATTTCTGTACACCTGAACCTCCTCCGATTACAATTGACTTCACGTTTGCTGTTCAAACAACTAAATCGGCCTTTGATAAAGAATGTGACGGATGCTCTAAATGAGGACACGCACTCCCACAGACTATACTCGTCCTGTCCCAAAGACAAATATAAACGACGCGTGCTTGTTTGTTTGTTGTGTATTTATACTCAATTGTGTCTCCTGCGACTCTTTCTCTCTCTCTCTCTCTCTCTCTCTCTCTCGCTCTCTCTCTGATAAGATTTATTTGATTGAGATGTAACAGTCAAGTCCTAAATAGATCTAAAGCGCCTGCTCATTTGCTGATATTTCCCCCCCCCCCCCCCCCCCCCCCCATGATTTCCCCCCCCCCCAAAAGCGCCTCCCACTCAGGTAGCTTCTTCATCACACGCTCATCGTCATCCTCACTCGGCAGCTCCGTCAACACCGAGCGCGGGCTTCGCTTCACCACAACTCCGGAACAGTAAGTGCGTTTTGTATGCACGAGATTGCGGTAATATTTAGAATAATAATTTAAATAAAATATAATAATTTTCAGTCTGCTTTACTTTGTATCTGAGCGTGTTGGAAAAAGAAAAACAAAATTAGCATGCAAATTTGTATTTTTTTAATTACCATTGTTATAACACGTTAAAAATGGCTTGTGCAATGATAATTAGGCTGATGATATGAAGTTATGATGATCTCTGTAAAAGCAGAATTTTGAATCGCGCTTGAAAAAACAAAAAAACAACTCTAAAACAAACAAACAAAAAATTGTTGGCTCCTGTATGTTACAGCAATTGTATTTCATGAAAATCTGTCCATAAAAAATATGCATTTTTCTTCAAAAATTTAGCAAAGAAAAAAAAACGTAATTTGTGTGTGAACTGCAAATGGCAGGAAAATCAAATTGAGGGGTTATGATTAGTAGTTAAAAAAGATTTACCGCCTGCTTGTTAAAAAAGCACTAGCGTGCAATGCATAGTGACATGTAATTGCTCAATTAGTCAATCAAGAGTGTTTCTGTATATTTTATGCGTTGCGATCATCTGTTAGCAGTTGTAAAATCTAATTCTGTGCAACCGTTTTACAAATTTAGAAAATGGACTATTTCTCTTGCTTGCTTAGAAGCAGGACTTGTGTCCACTTTTTTGCTTTAGTTTTTTTTTTCTTCCTCCCCAGCAGCAGACTCGCAGCGTGATGCCCGAGTGTTCGAGTGTTGCTCGCCCAAACCAAGAAGATGGTCGCCGAGATCCTGGGGGAGATGTGGCGGAAGCAGGAGGAGGAGGCGCTCTGGACAATCTTGGTCTTAAACAGGTAGCACTTCCTTCCTCTCGTCCTCCATCAATCATTTGATCAGACGAAGGGAGCAGTGCACGAAGGGAGCAGTGCACTGCATATTTTCGCGCGAGTCTTCAATCCACGTGAAAGTCAAATTTTGCCGAGTGGTCATTTCTTGACATGTTAACGAGTTCCGTTGTCATTCGGCGTGCGCTCACCTTCATGAACAGGCGTCCGACTTCCATTAGGGCTCACAACAAGCATGTAATTGTGTCGCTTCATGAACTTCTCGACCCGGCGCCCACCTCATTTAGCCTCCGTGACGCCATTCACAGCCGCGCTGTCTTAGTGTGATTGGACGCGTGCGTGCGTGCGTATGCGTGTCATTGGCTGACCTCTTGTCATTCGGCCCACGGTTTTCCTTGTCGAGGTCTTCCTGGCCATGATGACTCCTCGTCAGGTGACGCGGCCTCTGTCCAGCGGACAGCTGCACGCTCTGATGCAGCACAAGCAGAAGGCCTTCATCCTCCACCAGGTATCCCGATGGTCCTAATTCATTACAAAAAACATTTAGCTTCTTTCTCAGCGTTCATGAAAAGGATGTTTACATTTCAAGTACGGACTAAAAATATGAAGCAAGCGGTTACATTTTTGTTGGCTAGCGGGGCGGAAAATTTTTTGGGTAACAAGTTCGTTTTTGTTCATATATAAACCATTTTCCTTTTTCTAATCGGCTTATCCTCACAAGGGCCATGGGGGGTGTTGGAGCCTTTCCAAGCCGTCATTGGGCAGCAGGCGGGGGGACACCCTGAACTGCTTGCTAGCTAATCCACCGTGCCGCTCGTTTTCTTTTCATGACTTAATTTGATTGTGTGAGATGATGAATTTTGTGTAAGCGCTTCATACTCGGCGGCTTCACCCTTCGCGTTTACCTGTAAAACTCTTTATTGACTTTTTTTTTTTTTTGATTGAAGCTGCTCAAATCAAATCAAGCAGTCAATTAATCGCTCCAGTCGAGGGAACAGTGTCAAGGAAGCAATTAAACATTTACACGTTACAAGTTACGTGAAGTGACTGTAAATCCAGGACAGTACAGTTGTGAAGTACAGTTCAGTTGTATTTCACTTTTAAGTACAATACAGAACCTAGAACTTAAAACTGCGCATCATGTGACAGCGGCTCACAAAAAAATATTATTACTAAAACCCCAAAATTGTCTCCGATGAATAACTAAGTCTTGTTCGAGGTGTAAAAAGTTTACGAGCCGACATACGTGACAGTCAAGCATCGCTTTTGATGTCATCTCATGCTGTCTGATTTTCCTGTTCCAGCATCATCTCAAAGAGTTTTACAAGAAACAGCAGCAGATGAACGTGTGCTTGCTTCAGCAGCAGCCGCTCAAAAAAAGCAAAGAGGTAAAGACTGAGATGCATTTGATGGCGTAACTTTGTTTTTTTGTTTTGACAAGTCGGTGCCGTGTTTTGTCTGTGTGCCAGCTCCTTCCACAGCAGCTGGCGCTCCAGCATCTACTGCACATCCAGCAGCAGCTTCATCAACAGCAATCAGCCCGCCCCCCCGCAGGTAGAGCTGCTGTGAACCGCCGCCATATCATGTTTCTTCTTTTTGCACCCACACTGTAGTGCATAGTTTGATTCCGGAATTTTTTTTCAATTGACTTTTGCAATGTACGGGCAAGTCAGAATTGATTTCAATGTATCGCAATAGCACCAAATGTCGTCTCAAAGCACAACGTAGGATGCAGTCTCCCTTTTTTTGACAGTGAGAAAGCAAGAACGGGCGCTAAGGAATATTTTCTAAACTGTTTGGTATGTGTGTGTGTGTGTGTGTGTGTGTGTGTGTTTGTGTGTGTGTGTGTAAGGGCCGAGGCATTAAAAAAAATTGTAGTAGTTGGGTCTGGAATGCATCAACGGACGTTGACAGCCGAAGGAAATCCCGTTCCAGTATTCTGTATTTCATTCATTACGAAACGCTAAATTATGCTAATGTTTGTCGATTAGCCGCGATCAGCTCGGTGGAGTTGAAGGATGTTTCGAAGGAGATGACAAAAGGAGGAGCAGCAGCAGCAGCAGAAGAAGAATCAGAAAATGCCGTCAAGCGCGATCACAAAGACGCTGAGAAGAAGACAACAAGCCGTGAGAGTCAAACGTGCGAGCTGCTGTCACAATTCTCCTCGGGCTAACGTGAAGACCATAAAACATGACTTACATTTTTTTTTTTTTTTTTTTTAATGTTTGCATCACATGATGTGGTTCTTCATCTAGCTTGAGTCAAGCTGACTTCAGAGATCCAAATGTCCTGTACGATCACGGCGTGTGCAACTGGCCCGGGTGCGAGTCCAGCTGCCAAAACTACAGCCAGTTTATCACGTAAGTGGAATCATTCATGTTCATCCTTCCAGCTAGCTGAGCTCCAACTGCCGACTTCTTCAATTTACATATTTGGAAAATGGAAAAAAAAAAAAAATAGTGCGATCCACAAAAGACAACGTGAAATTAAGAAAATGTCTAAAATCAAATGTTTTGGTTTTTTTTTTTTTTAATCTAGAGTCTGGATATGATTTGAGAGGTGTCTCTAAGTTTGCTGTACAAAAAAAAAATGTTCAGACTTACTGAAATGATGCAAATATAAATTTCAGAAATAGTGATTCAACAAATATAAATTTCAGAAATTGTGATTCACTTTTCATGTTGAGTACTGATTTGCAAAACTATTTTTGAAGGCTGTAAAGAAGTGTCGGTTAATTTTTTTTTGTTTAATTATATTTGGAAGCTGGTAGCTTTTTTTTTCGTGGTAATAAAACCTCAAACATTTGTTGTCTTTTCAACGAAAGACGAGCAGTGTCATATGGATTTCCTTTAGTGGCCCCAGGTGGATTTAAAAAAATAATAATTTTGGTTGTTTAAATGATGATCAATTTGTGGCTGCAGACCCTCTTTTCTCATCTGTGTGTGTTGCAGGCACATGCGCGGCGAGCACACACTGGATGACAAAAGTGCAGCACAGTGTCGAGTCCAAATGCAAGTGGTTCAACAGCTGGAGTTTCAGGTGGGCCTGGCCACGATATTAAGTACACCGCCATAGTCTAGTCATAAGATCCTGCTCTCAAATGTGCCACGGCTGAACGCTTTTCTTGTAGGGCGGCGCCGACGAGCTTGCAACCAAAAGCCTCCATGTCAATTATCTCGCCGTTTTTGTTCCTTCAGCTGCGCAAGGAACGAGAGCGCTTGCGAGCGATGACGGCTCACCTTCAGCTGACGCCCGCTGCGGAATCCCATTTCGCACCTTTGACGCCTCGTGGCGTGTCTGCCGACTCGCTTTGTCCGCAGGTACAGGTAGCTTGCGTGGGCTGACGTCTGTGTGGACAAAAGTTGTACAACATCACATTTTGTCTGTCACAACATTTTTATACTGTTGTGACAGTGATGCTTTGCCGCCGTCGTTCACCAGTGAGGACAAGTAACACTCCATGATAGAACTGTGTTTTATGTTCATATGAATATATGTCTATAAGTATTGTTGTCTGTCTACAAGTGTTGATGCACCGTTTGTGTTCAAATATCCATTGCTTAAAGGGTTGTGATAACACGAATAATGTTATTTATTAGCCCGTCAATGGTGTTTTGCATTGTGGCTTAAGCTAGCGGAGGGCAAAGGCCGGTGGTGGTTTTAAATCCGCAACATGTAACTCTCTTTGTTTTCTGTTTACTTTGACAGTAAACATCAATTGCGACTCACTACAAATCAGTCATGTCTTTCTCGGTTCTTCTGTCGTGTTCACTTAGCGTTGAGACCATATCAGCTGTTCATCTCCTATATAACAAACCACCCCAAACGGTTTCGCCCTGCGACTAATGGGCCTTCTGTTGTGCGCGACATTTGTGTGACAATTACCTCTGAAACAGGCCAATCCATTCGCTCCGTCACGGCGTCCTCATCACACGTCCTTTTGTTCACTTGCAGGCAAGCTCAGTCGCTTGCGAGCCGCCCTCGCCGAATCCTCCCCGATCGCTGGCTCCCGTCGACAGCCCACCGCGGGGGAGACTCTCTCCTACATCGTGCGCTGGAGCCGTGAGACGTCGCCATCATCGGTTGGCCTACTCTACAGGTCATACATTCTCTGCCGGAATTTCCGATATCCAAATTTGGTCCATTTTATGGTGATGCAATGCTAATGGGTCAACAAATTGCATTTTTCCACTTATGAAAAGTGTATGCTTTTGGGAATGCGTGTGTATGGAATTACATTCAGGTTATCCCAAGATATTGTACTAAATCGAAAAAAAAAAAGCACAAAAACAGACAAACATACCCCACAAATCATTCATGTAAAAATGGACAAAAAACATACAAAGATGGGAAGAAAATGCCCCAAGCAAATGAACAACAACAAAAATCCTCAAAAAAAGGACAAACATCCCTCGCAATATGGACAATGTAAAAATAGATTTTAAAAAATCCGAACGAGATAGCAATATATTTCGAGAAATACTGAACCAAATAAATATATACATAAATTGGCATATATCCCTACAAAAAAAAATCCACGAAAATAGACAAACACCCTCAACACAACCAGAAAAATATTAGGTAAAAAATTCCTACAAAGATGGTAATATATTCCCCCCCGAATAAAAAAGTCCCATTAAATTGAAATTTCCACAAAAATGGACAGACACCCCCCACAAAAACAGACAAAAATGCTTGTAAAAATGTTTCATCCTCAACAAGACCTACAAATTTTTTCTATTACTCCTAACTGTTTTCATCTGGTTCCTCTCTCCTCCCAGAAAAAGAACATGACCTCTACAAGAACGCTGACATCAGACCACCTTTCACATACGCAACCTTAATAAGACAGGTGCAATCTACCAGGACACCTGTCATTGTTTTCTTTCTCGTCTTCAGTTCTCATACAGTAAATCTCACGAGAACCAGTGAGTTCCCCTTCGGTGACATTTTCCTTTGACAGGCCATCGTAGAATCAGCAGACATGCAGCTAACGCTCAATGAGATCTATACTTGGTTCACGAGGACCTTCGCCTTTTTCCGCCGCAATGCCGCCACGTGGAAGGTAAAAACCTCACGTAAGGTTTACTTTTTTTTAATATCACCAAAAACGGACATTTGAACAGGGGTGTGTAGACTTTGATATCCTCTGTCTTTGTATACAAGCAATTAAGAAGTAAACTTTCCATAATAATGTATATCGCCTTTCACCGAGCTGATTTTGTGGTTCCATTTTCTCTCAAAATATTTGTCATGTTGGTGTCAGAACGCCGTGCGCCACAACCTGAGCCTGCACAGATGCTTCGTGCGCGTGGAGAACCCGAAAGGCGCCGTGTGGACGGTGGATGAGGCGGAATACCAGCGGCGGCGGTCGCAGAAGATGACGGGGTAGTTAGACGGACACGCGGCGCAATCACGAGTCGCTTTAACGCACTTTTTTTTTTGCTTCACTGCCACAAAGCCTTTTAAAAGGATCAATATTCTGATTTCTTGGACGTGGTATTTTAAATGTTTTATAAAGCGCTTTGTTTCAGCTGCAGCGGTTGTGACAGCGCTATAGAAATAAAACTGTATTGTATTGTATACCCTTTAGCGTAGCTCCATCTAGTGGATACTTAATGTAACCGCAGCCACTACTGTAGCTTCTATTCTATGCGCCTTATCATGTGGTGCACTCCATATATGAAAACAGTTTTAAAATAGGCCATTCTTTGAAGGTGTGCCTTATAACCCTGCCGCGCCTTATAGTGCAAAAAATACTATACGGTAGTTATTTTCTCCCGATGCATTCCATGGTTCTCTCGTAGGAGTCCACTACTGATGAGGAGCGCCCACTTTGGATCGGTTTCGAACGCCCGTTCACAGGTAAGACGTGTTCACTTTCAACAGGAAGTGGTTGAGAAAACATATTTAGCTCTATTTTTGTCTCTTAGACGTCATTTACAGACGCAGCGTCGCCGGGATTCATGCACGGAAATGGTAAGCGCTTGGACTCGCCGGCACAACGGTGACCCATTTGCCGAATTTGAAAAACTGAAAGCTGCGTGTAAAGTTGCGGATTAAAAAAAAACAAACAAAAAAACGTTTTTAATTGTTTTTTTTTTCCTGACAGCCTTCACTTGAACATGTTACACGCTCACCGCCGAGAACCCGTGACAGAGAACAATGGCCTACCGAAGCTCGACAGGACTCAAATCAACGATGACGACTTGTGACTCCTCCGATGAGCCAATCTTTTACGATTAAACACTGGATGTGAAATATACTCTACATTATGTAATGGTGTCAATTGTGGTCATCCCTCTACTTTTTTGATACTGTTTATCCTCACAAGGGTCGCGGGTGCCCTGGAGCCTATCCCAGCTGACTTTGGCCAGATGCGGGGTACACCCTGGACTGGTCCCCAGTCCCTCACAGGACACATTAAGACAAGCATTCCCGCCTATGGACAATGTAGAGGCTCCGATGTTCCGAGCATGCATGTGTTTGGGAATGTGTGAGAAAGTTGGAGCATCTGAAGAAAACCACCAAAAGCACCGAGAGAACAAGCCAACCCCACACGACTAGCCCAGAGCTGAAATTCAAACCGAGGGGCTAGCGACTGTGAGGCAGACCACTGAACCACTAAGTCACCCAGTTGCCCTAAATTGTGGAACCATCTAATAATGATTGTGCAATATGTGTCTCCTTAATAAACGTCAACATCAATTCATTATTGACTGAGGACTTTTTTTTAATTCACATACAGTGTGTCAATGTCATCTGTTTTAGTGGAGGTGTCGACTTAAGAATCATGATCAGTATTGAGACCAAGCTCAAGAATATTCTCGTTCCTCCAGGTTATTTCATTCTCAGGACAATGAATCAATCGCAACTGGACTGTTCTGGTTATCATGAAGGATGATTTCGTCTCTCGTCTGAGAACGTTTCTTCAGTTCACGCAACAAGCCTCGGTGTGGAGAAAAAAAACAAAGCTCCAACATGGAGCTATGGCGACCAATATACAGTCATGTTGGGGTTGCTATGTTAGGTTAAACGCACAATGTTTGGATCATGTTTGGACAAAATGAAATGATCCAAAAACAAGACCCAAAGAGTGATTTGGTGTTCGTGATGAATGAATGCGTGCAAATGAATGCCGAGTGACGAGCAGCATGATGCTAAATGAGCAAAAGAGCACATTTGTCATTGGTCAGGCATCGAAAAACGAGTGAGCATCATTGCAGATTTTGTGATGTGATTTTTAGTCGAGGACTCTTCCCCCCTCATCACAGACATCTTTGAAAGAGTAATAATTGTGCCCCAAGGTTGTGGCTCTCAATTTCTACATAACCCTGCTACGAAAACATTTTTAGCCATTAAGAGCAAAAAAAAAAAATTTTAAAAAGTAAGCTCCATCGCTCAGCAGAAATGTCATCATCAAGCTAATTGCACCGACCGTGGGTAGACGTAAGTGAGACCTCTTTTTTATTTTTCACATTTGCTCCATTTTTAGTCATGGTGGACTGAGTCACTCAAATTCACTCAACCCTGTTCATATTAAGGTTTTTCTTTTTATGATATAGTTTGTTTTGGACTATTGAGCATAGCTTTAAATTAAAAAAAAAAAAGAGGTAGCAAGTATAAGCGATAGTATAGTGCATTCAAAAAAATGTTACCTTTTTTTATTTTCAAGGATTTATTCAGTGGTTTTTAAATATGTTTTTCATATGCCTGATTAGGCAACCCATAACAACCCTGCACCAAACAGAAAATTGTATGACAAATAAAATAGCTCAGAAAAAAAGTGTACCATGGATGGGCAAATGCAATTATGACCGTTTATTACCTGTCATACTTGAAAACTAACCCTCAAAAAATTCCAATGTTAAAAAAACAAAACAAAAAAAACAATTTTAAATTGCCCTCCGGTTTTGGAACGACCTAAATGTTTCCTTTTCAACCCATTTTGATCAACATTTTTGGAATATTGCCTCTTAAAAGTTTGCCCGGCTCCGGCGCATCATCGCGGCTTACTAAAAACACTCAAGAAAGCGTCAAATTGAGCGCTTGAGGCGTCGGCGGCGCGCTGTCGTCTCATCGCGGCTGAAAAGTGCAGCTTTCACCAGGCAAGCGAGAACAAAGGCGCCATGTTGTGACTAATGTCAGTAATTGTCTGGGCTGATCACAAGTTAGCTTGCGCGTTGCTCCCGCCTCCATCGGCCGCCTTTGAGGTGATTGGCTGTCACTGCTATGACACCCTCCCGCCACTTGTGTGTTTACCGAGAAGACAACCTGAATGCTTTTCACGTGTGTGTGTGTGTGTGTGTGTGTGTGTGGCTTTCATCTGACGCGCGCACACACACACTGTCAAGTACTTTGGAAAGCATCATTATCAAGCATCCGCTTCTCATGGAGATGTAAGAATAATAATAATAATGAGGAAAATGAAGATGATGATGATGAAGCTGTCACATGTCCAATCACAAGGCATCAGCCAATCATCCAGATCAATACTTACTACTCTATAAGATACTTGCTATTATATATATGTGTGGCTCTATTTATTTATTTTGGCTCTAAAGAGTAAGAATTTATTTAATATTGTTGTTGTTTTTTTTTTTTTAAAGTCAATGCTTTGGGGAGTTTTTTTAATTGAAAAAAAATCCAAAGAAAATAATTTTCATTTTCATTCAAAACGAAACAAATTTTTTTTTTTAAGATGTCCAAAAATAAATAACTATCTATCTATATATATATATATATATATATATA